CTAGAATTTAGATCTGGAACTCAGGAAAGGCTAGACTGGGAGTTAGGGGATCTGGGTTCTAGGTCTAGCTCTATAACTAGCCCTGCATGGCCTTGGATGTCATTTCCTCTGAGTCTTATCCTCTTTCAAAATAAAAAGGCTGGATTGGCTAAGTTCATTTTTTTTCCAATAATTTATGAAACTATAAATTGGGCTAACTTTGTCCTTCAAATGATTAACTTTAGCCTCCTTAGTAGAAATATTCTGGAGACAATATATTATGAAACTAGCCTGTACATTCTTTTGGCACGGGATGGGGGAGTCATCAGCAATGTAACCACAGAGAATTGTGTTGTATGTAGGTACACTGTAAATTCCTAATTATTCAAGAATTAGTAGTTAGAGAGCTTCCCAGACCCTGTCTGCAAAATATTAGGTGTTGTGGGCAGAGCTTTGATTTGCAATCCACAGCATGACCTAGGGTGATTCTGTTCCTCAGTATCAGTCTAGGATCAGGTTACAAATCAAGCCTACTTAACTGGTAAACGGCTGGACAAAGATCAGTTTGGCTCATTTCTTCTACAGAATGCTATCTTATCAAGAAGGGGAAGGGGAAATATGGTGCTGCAGGCACCAAAGGTTTCACAAATCCAAATCTAGACTCAGAGAAGTCAAGTCAAAAAATCCCATCAGAAACACATGAGGTCTTTCCAAATTATATGATTTTATTAAAAGCTGTCACACCATTCCTCAGGATACACTAGCTCATTTTAAGGTGCTAGACAGCAGCTCTGCTTCGCCTCCTGCTATAGATCCAACTTTTTCTTCCTTCTGTGCTGGTGACAAGTCTGTTGGAGGCTGACCTTTGGGGGGCTAACTAGCGCAAGTTTAAAAACCACTTTGAGCATAACAAACCATGTTAAACTACACACTAGGATACTTTAGGCTTGCAGTAAGATAAGGATCAGGACCAACAAAAACCCTTCAGACATCTCTGCATGGTAAAGTAAGAAAAGCAACTAGCTTTCTTACCTCTCTAAGGACTAGTCTAGATTGAGGATCTGACTGCCTATTATTTTCTGGTGAGTAGGAGACAGTTTTTCTGCTATCAGTGGGTAATTCCTTTTTCTGGCCTTTAAATTGTAGTTTTTCCAGGTTCCTGGAAAAGTGTGCTGTTCTGCCTTGGGAGACAGATAATAGGATCAAGATGTGAACCAGGCTTTCTGATGTTGTTTCTCTACAGAATCAGCCAGTTCTTTGGACCAGCTCAATGGCAAACACTAGATCATCCAAATGGACTAATTCAACGTTGGTGGCTAGATGACACTTAAAATTTCAAGGGCGTACTTACACCCATGAAGAAGGAACAAGTAGCTGTCAAGAACCTTCTTTGTTCTGATATTAGCTTGCTTTCCATTTGCTTCCTGCATCTTTTCCATGAAAACTAGAGTTACTCCTTGAGTAACACTCAACAAAATGAGTAACTGACCTTCCACCTCTTAATATCTTCTCCAAGTAGAAGACTCTTGCATACTTTAACTTTGGGAGACTAATTTGTAGGGGATGTGTCTGTGTATTTTTGGGAGGGAAGAGTAGCACAGGAATGCATCCTGGCACCTAGATTACACATATTGTGCAGTTTCCAGAGAGAGTCAACAGGTGGCACTGTGACCCTGCACCCGGTTCATATACATTCTGCTCCCTTGTCTCTTCTTACCCAATACAGCCCTGGAGTCACCGGGTGTCAAGGGAAGAAGGAACAAAGGTCTGGAAAGGCATTTTATGTAAATGTAGAGTTCATGTTCAACATTCTAGAATCTGAAGATTTCTTAGCAGAGGAGGGAACATGCTTAGGCCTGTGTTCTTTGGGAAGTGTAAGGAAAAGGACTAGAGGAAGGTGGTCATACAGGTAGGAGAATCGGAAGAAAGCAGTCACAGAAGCTAAAGGAGAGAAGAGTATAAGAGGGGATACTTGATAGTATCAAATACCGCAAAAGTCAAGAAGCGTGAGGACTGAGAAAAGGCCATCAGATCTAGCAATTAGTGGGATCAATGTTACAAAGCAAGTTATAGAGGGAGAAACATGCCTCAAAAGCATCCTTTTGAAGAACAGCTCAAAATTGTTAAAATAATATAATCCATTAATGAATCCTCCGATGTACTTTGAGGACTATGATCTAATCAAAGGCTTTTTCATTCAAAGAACTTCCCTCCACTGTGAATGGTATAGGGCCTTGAATGTTTTTTTTTTTTGTGTTGTGATTTTTGGTTTTTATTTTTAAAATGTTTGCTCTGAACTTGACAAACACCAACAAAAATTTTCACATAAAAAGAAAAAATAGAGTACTGTTTATGAAATCATGAATTTCATTATGTACAAGTTTTAAAAATACATATATTATGTAGGTATAGAACATTTAATTAAATTAAATGTAAAATTACATGTAGCTAAATTAAATGTAGCATATTATTTCCAAAGCTATCCCTCTTGTTTCTGTTATTTTAAGGAACCTCCTTCGGATCCCTTCTGTATATTTTCTTTGAATTTTCACTGGTGATCCCCCCCCTTTTTTGGGGGGGGATAGCTATCATTAGCTCTCTTCCCCTCCCCTCATTCCTTCCCTGTAACAAGTAAAGCAAAAAAAATCCACACATTAACCATGTCTGAAAATGTGTCTCAGTCTGCATCTCTAATCTAACACATCAGAAGCAATATTTCTGAAGGTCTTCCTCCATTCATTATATACAAAAGACAAGATCCTACCACTGCCTCCAGAGCTAAGCTGAGTATTGTGATCAGGGAACCATATTTGTGAACACTGATATACCAGATCTCATCTAGTGAAAAAGACAATCAGATAGTGAGAAGCTTGGAAACCATGCTATGTGATGGTGAATTAAAGGAACTCAAGAAACTTATTTGGAATGAATGAAAAAAACATTTATTAAGTATTTACTCCCTGCAAAGCACTAGGGACATAAATACAAAAGTTAGCAGATCCCTGCACTTCAGTTAGGAGGGTGCAGCTGCAAGGTAACGTCTGCTTGTCTGAAGAGCAAAGAAGCAGGGTGGATAGCAAAGAGAAGGCATGACTTTTTTTTTTTTTAAAGGCAACTGGGGTTAAGTGACTTGCCCAGGGTCACACAGCTAGCAAGTGTCAAGTGTTTGGTCTGAGACCGGTTTTGAACTTGGGTCCTCCTGCCTTCAGGGCCGGTGCTCTGCGCCACATAACTGCCTCTACAACTATTGTTTTAAGATGTCAAAGGTGGTCATATAGAAGAGGTATCAGACTTATTTTATGTAGTACCAGAAAATAGAACTGGACACCATAGGGGCAAACAGTGGATAGTCAGACTTCACCAAGGTGTAAAGAAACATTTCTCAACAATTATATCATTTAAAAGTGTAAATGATTGTCTCAATAATAATAGCTAGCATTTACATGGTTCTGGGCATTTTCTATGGCTAAGGCTAAGAATACTCTTCCTCCTCTGCTCTACCTGACTGCCCTTGGCTTCCTTTAAGTCCCAACTAAAATCCCACCTCCTATAGGAAGCCTTCCTTAACCCCTCCGAATTCCAGTGCCTTCCCTGTTAATTACTTCCTGCTTTTCCAATATATGGCTTCCTTTGTAATGTATTTGTCTGCATGTAGTCTTCCCCATTAGATTTGAAGCTCCTCGAGGGCAGGAATTGTCTTCAGCCAATCTATGCATCCCTAGCGCTTGGTTCGGTCCCTGGTGCACAGTAGGCATTTAGTAAATGCTTAATGGGCAGCCAGCCTAAAGCGGCTAGATGGTGAAGTGGACAGAGTGCCGGGCCGGAGTCAGTCCGAATCTGGCCTCTCACTAGCTCTGTGACCCTGGGCAAGTCACTTAACCCTATTGGCCTCAATTTCCTCATCTGTAAAATAAAGTGGAGATGGAAATGGTAAACTCCTCCAATAAGTGCAAAGAAAATCCCAAAGGGGGTCACGAAGAGTCGGACACGACAACGACAAAAGCTTAAAGACAGACTCATATCTATATGTAGCGCTTCTGCAAAGCGCTTTACAAATATCTCACTTTGTCCTCGCAATAACTCTTGCAGGTAGGTGCTATTATCTTCCCCATTTTACAGAGGTAGACTAAGGCAGGGGAAGCTAATGACTCGCCCAGGTTCCCCGCTCTCGGCGCCCCCACTGCGCCCCCTAGCGGCCTTCCATCGCGCTACCGACGCCAGGGAGCGCTGCGGCACCATTAGTCTGGGACGCTGTCAAAAGGTTCTTGCTCGGGCACAGGGGGGATTTGCCGGCATCTGAGGTACCTTCCAACGCAAAGATTCCGTGCAGCCTGCTCCCCCACAACGGCTGTGCAGGCTGGTGGGGAGAAAGCGTCGAGTTGGGGGAAAGACTTGGGTTCAAATTCCGCCCCGGTCAAGAGCTCGCTGTGACGCCTCGACAAACTCCGGCCCCTGGTTTAATAGGGCCTCCCTCAGGACCCGCCCTCTCCCCGCCCACTTCAGGGCTGACGCTTGGGGCAGCTTGCTCTCTCCCGTCCCGGTCCACGGTCCCGAAAGCTAAAGCGAATTTACCTCAGAGTAGGGCGCCGGAGCCTGTAGCTAGATGCTGCCGCCCGGACCGCCGCTCTCTTGAGGTCACGGCGCATGCGCCTCCTTCGGGGCCGCAGAGGGACGCAAAGACGTCGGGGCCGAGAGGCGACGCGGCGCCGTAGCGTGGGAGGAGGTCGGGGGGAGGGGGAAGGGAAAGGTCGCGGGATTGGGGCGCGTGGCGTACAATGGAGCGGCCGGCGCCATGACTCGTCGCTGACGCGTTACGTTCGCGCCGACGTCGGCGCGCTGGGGCGGAAGATGGCGGTTCGGTGGGCGGTTGACTGTTGATCCGCGGCAGAGGCGCCGCGGAGTGGGTCGCGCGGGAGGCGCCCCAGGCTCGCGACCGGCCTCCCGGCCGCCTCCCCGCACTGCCTCGTCGGCCGGCGGAGCCCCCGGCCGGGGCCGGTCGGGCCGCCGGCGCCGCCGCCACCATGTCCCTGCTGCAGTCGGCGCTGGACTTCCTGGCCGGTCCGGGGTCCCTGGGCGGGGCAGCCAGCCGTGACCACACAGACTTCGTGGGGCAGACCGTGGAGCTGGGCGACCTGAGGCTGCGGATCAAGCGGGTCATCGCCGAGGGTGAGGGCCCAGCGGGAGAGGCAAGCAGGCAGCCACCTGCAGCTGGAAGGAAGGGCTCGGCCGCGGGGACGGAGGGCTGGTCACATTTGGGAGGGGGGCAGCCGGGGGAGGAAGGCGGGGTCGCATCTGGAGGTGAGAATCCGAGGACAGGACACATCTGGAGGGGGACTTGGGGAAGGAAGGCAGGCCATATCTGGGGGGATCAGGGGGGGAAGGCGGGCCACATCTGGAGGTGAGAATCCGAGGACAGGACACATCTGGAGGTGAGAGAAGAGGAGGACATGCCACATCTGGAGGGGGGCTCGGGGAAGGAAGGCAGGCCATATCTGGGGGGATCCGGGGGGGGGGAAGGCGGGCCATCTCTGGAGGTGAGAATCCGAGGACAGGACATATCTGGAGGGTGGGCTCGGGGAAGGAAGGCAGGCCATATCTGGGGGGATCCGGGGGGGGGGAAGGCGGGCCACATATGGAGGTGAGAATCCGAGGACAGGACATATCTGGAGGGTGGGCTCGGGGAAGGAAGGCAGGCCGGCCATATGTGGGGGGATCCGAGGTGGGGGGAAGGCGGGCCATCTCTGGAGGTGAGAATCCGAGGACAGGACACATCTGAAGATGAGATTCAGAGGAGGAGGGCATG